CTTGCCCAGGTCGTCACTGGATGGCCCACAGGTCGAAGCGTAGATACAGCACCTGGTGAGATGCTTACTCTGAAATAACGTGGACATCGATTCATGCAGGAAAGCAAAGACTCACTTGGAGACTCATCAACCTAGAAACCCACGGACTTGCAAAGAGACCTACCGATTAACATAGACACCCATACACACACACACATTGAGTTGTGTTTAGAGTGAGAACTCAACATTAGCGAGTTGGTGATCTCAGCCCACTCACCAATGAACCGACACATTACATGTTGGTTTTGTACTCGATTTCAGCTGTGCAGTGATGCAGTGATATACTCTGCACCGGTTTCATCCTCGCTGGCACTCATGATCAACGTAGCCAGCGAACGTGTACATTGCGGTGGAGGAAACTACTGCTCAATGTATCGTGCCATCAACGACCGTAGCGGAAAGCCCTCCCCCGTGACATGACAGAGGGAATTTCCAACCGACATCAATACATCTTCTTGGTTCTTTCGGTAAAGTCACGTGGAAGGGAAGTAATAAAATAATGAAAATAAAACATAATAAAATAATTCTCACGACGTTTCGGCCACAACGCAAGTAGCCGTCCTCAGGTGAAGCCAGGTCTGTCGAGGCCTCAACAGACCTGGTTTCTTGCGTTGTGGCCGAAACGTCGTGAGAATTATTTTATTATGTTTTATTTTTATTATTATATTACTTCCCTTCTACGTGACTTTACCGAAAGAACCAATAAGATGAATCCATGCAGTCACGAAAGCTTTAAATCGAAATGACATCAATACATTTGATTAGTAAAATAAGCTTGCCCTGCTGTAGCATTTGCTCTATTTACAAGTGATGAATTTGTGTATTGTGTACATTGCAGATGGAATCTATAGCCCACGCCGAACCATCGTGTAAATCAGAGGTGGGGGAACCTTTTTTCTGCCAAGGGCCGTTTGGATTTTTATAACATCATTCGCGGGCCATACAAAATTACCAACTTAAAAATTAGCCTGTTATATTTGGTCAAACATTTAATTAACTCGCCCCTAATGTGATGGGCTGGAACTGCTTCTCTTTGGTGAGGCGTGTGTGATGTTCGCTGGTATTGATGATGTTGCTACTCGCAACTGCTTTTCCAGATTTGCTCCTAGATTTATTGAATTTCGAGTCCCGCCTGCGGTTGCCTTGGCAGGGCCAGACCCAAATGATTTCGCGGGCCTCACACGGCCTACGTTCTCCACCCCTGGTGTAAATGATGAAACCGCTCCACTTCTAGAAAAATTCAGAGCTGGCACTGCCCATGCGAACGCACTCACATACCCACAACAACAACAATCGCCATTCGCCACCAATGTGCCAGGCTGGGTGCACATTGAGGCTGCCACGTGAAGTGTGGAAAGGCTCCGCTGGCTGGCAGGAGGACACGGGAAGAGACCCGGACGCAGAGATGAACTGAACTGAACTCGGGTTGCAAATGCAGTGGCGTGACCAGCGTGGCTGGCAGGTGGTGGTGGTGGTGCATCCGTCAGCCATCTCACTCAACCCATTGGCACCAGTGGCGAAGTGACGAGGAGGTTATCGGCTCGGTCAGGTGGTACCCCCACCAATATTTGATTTGTGTCGCACGGTTGTGAGCGAGGCTACGTGTATGTCGCGGCTCATAAATTGCCCAAATCACATCACGAAGTTCTAGATTTGAAGCTTTCGTGACTGCAAGGATTCATATTCTTAGGTTTTTTTCGGTAAAGTCACGTAGGTAAAACGTTAAAATTAATAAAAGTTAAATAAAATAAAAATCACGACGTTTCGGAGGCAACACACCTGATGACGGAGACTTGTGTTGCCTCCGAAACGTCGTGATTTTTATTTTATTTTACTCTTATTAATTTTAATGTTTTACCTACGTGACTTTACCGAAAAAACCTAAGAATACACATCACGAAGCATTATCACGGCAACATAAATTCAAACCGCGTTTCTAAATAATGTTGTGCGTTCGTAAATCTTGACTTCAGGCTTTCGTGACTGCAGGAATTCATATTCTTTGGGTCTTTCGGTAAAGTCACGTAGATAGATATAATTAGAACAATACAATCATTAAATTTCGATTTAAAGCTTTAGTGACTGCAGGGATTCATCCTCTTGTTTCTTTCTTCAGACTCTGTCTCCTCGACAGACCTGTTCTCCATCTGAGGACGGCTACTTGCGTTGTGGCCGAAACGTCGTGAGAATTATTTTATTATGTTTTATTTGTATTATTTTATTATTTCCATTCTACGTGACTTTACCGAAAGAACCAAGAAAAAATACAATCATTTTTTTAAATTGAATAAAAAATAATATATATATTTTTTATAAAATTGATTCTTCGTCTTTCTTACGCTGTTGTTGAAAACACATCTCACGGTGGTTTGTCAAGGGGGGGCCTACAACTCGTAGCTGCGGCCACAAGGTGGGGGGGGGGGGGCAAGGCACACCTGGCCTGCCCCCCACGACTTTTCCGAGGAGTCCGCTGCCTTGCTGATCGTTTTGGTGTCAGATCGTTTCCAGGGCGGGCGAGCGAGCGGGCATTCAATATCATAGCTCGCCAGTATAGAAAAAAGATTCTGGTAAATAAATGTAAGAAAATAAATGTTGCTGGTGTCCGCGTTAGTTCATTCAAACCACGCGTCCATCTCGGTTCGGTCATCCGGGGCAAATGATTCTCCATTTTTTGCACCATTCATCTTAAGGGGCCATCAATTCAATAGGTACACAATAATCCGTCAAAATTTGGACCCCTCTCCCCCTCCCTGTACACACGCGAACTTTTTACACCGCCCCCCTCCCCCCAACCTGTGTACGTACGCTTAACGAACCCCCCCCACCCGAATCCTATAGAACGGTCGATATTTAATCCACGAAGAAACGATCAAGGATTAATAATATTAAGGTGTTTAAGCAAACAGATAGTCCACCGCCGGACTATCTAACTAATTTGAAGGCCAATGTAGACGAATTATTATCGAGGCTTCAACCCCCCCCCCCCCGTTTCCTATGCGTACATTGTCCGTAGACCCCCCATACGCAAGCTACGCATTTGAGTTAATCCCTCCCCTCCCCCTCCATGCGTACGTACTCAATGGATGGCCCCTAAAGAAGCGCGCTCTCCCATCATCACGGTGGCTAGATGTTAACTACCTCGCCTGGTATACAGGAGGTCGTGGGTTCGATTCCGACCCTGACGCCTGCTGCTGTATATTTGGAGTTTGCGTGTCTCTCTCATCATCATCACGGTGACTAGAAGATGTTAACTACCTCGCCTGGTACACAGGAGGTCGTGGGTTCGATTCCGACCCTGACGCCTGCTGCTGTATATTTGGAATTTGTGTGTCTCTCTCTCTCATCATCATCATCACGGTGGCTAGGAGATGTTAACTAGTGTGCAGGAGGTCGTGGGTTCGATCCCGACTCTGACGCCTGCTGCTTTATATTTGGAGTTTGTGGTGTCTCTCTCTGTTTCTCTCCCCGTGGTCGTGTTGATTTTTCTCTGGGTCCTCCCGGTTTTCCCTCCACATTTAGAATCAACGTCACGCGTTTAGAGCATTTGGCTGCTGCTATGAATGTCCACACAAGAAGCCACTTTCGTTGAGCGATCAGCTGTGGCCAGGTCGCTTCTGAAAAAGCGCTACACAGCTTTGTGGGGCCATACCTGGTAAAATAAAAATAGTTCAGTGAAAAAAAGTTGCATAGTTTAAAAAAATAAGTTATAACTTTTAATATATAGGTTGGTTACAAAAATAATTGAGTTTAAAATAGTTTCGTTTTTATTTTAAAAAAAATTGTTTAGTTAAAAAAAGTTTAATCTTGATTTGAAGCTTTCATGACTGCAGGAATCCATACTTTTTGGTTCTTTACCGAAACAAAAGTTTAGTTGAACTTAAAAATAGTTGTTTCGTTTAAAATATTTTCTTAGTTTTAATGTTTAAAAATCGTTCAGCAAAAAAGTTGTTTAATAAAAAAAATTGTTTAAACTTTCAAATAAGAGTTCAGTAAAAATCATTGCTTAGTTTTAACGTTTCAAAGTCGTTCAGTAAAAAAAAATATTTGTTTAAATAAATGTTCAGTGTAAGCTTTTACAAAAAAATCACTGAAAAAAATGCTGAGTTTTAACGTTTACAAATCGTTCAGTAAAAAATGGTTTAGTTTTTAAAAAAATGTTTAGTTAAACTTAAAAAAAATGTTTAGTAAAAAAAGCTTAGTTTTAACGTTTCAAAATCGTTCAGTAAAAAATGGTTTAGTTTTTAAAAAAATGTTTAGTTAAACTTAAAAAAATTGTTTAGTAAAAAAAGCTTAGTTTTAACGTTTCAAAATCGTTCAGTAAGAAAATTGTTGAGTTAAAAAATGTATTGTTTAGTTTAACAAAAAAATGTTTAGTTTAAACTTTTAGAAAATTTCGATTTAAAGCTTTCATGACTGCAGGGATTCATATTCTTGGTTCTTTCGGTAAAGTCACGTAGAAGAGATATAATAAAATAATAAAAAGAAAACAATCATTGTTTCGTTAAATGTTTTTCTTAGTTTTAACTTTAAAAAATGTGTATTAAAAAAAATTGTTTAGTAAAATGTTTTTAATAGTTTAACTTTAAAATATTTTTATTTAAAAAATGTTAGTTTTAACTTTTAAAAAATTTACTTCAAGCTTTCGTGGCTGCAGGAATTCATATTCTTTGGGTCTTTCGCTAAAGCCACGGATTTACCGAAAGACCCAAATAATAAAAAAATGTTAAGTAAAAAAAATTACTTAGTTTTAACTTTTACAAAATTAAACAGTAACAAAAAAAGCCTAGTTCAAACTTTTTAAAAATTATTAAGTATAAAAAATTCTTAGTTTTCCCGTTTAAAAATCTTTAGTTGAAACCACCGCCTCGTGACGTCACGCCAGAGCGCACTGCCCATGAAACGCCGCTCGTCCCGGGGGCGCTCCGAGCGGATGACGTCACGCAAAGAGCTTCCGGGGTCAGAGTGCGACGAGGTCGCGAGCTTCCGGGTGAGAGGTCGCGGCGCCGTGAACACGCGGAGGAGGCGGAGCCATGGCCGCCACCGCAGCAGCGGAGCTGAAGAGCGTGGAGGAGCGACGTCTCGGTCGGTGTCTCTGTCTCTGTGTGTCTGTCTGTGTGTGTCTCTCTGTCTCTGTGTGTGTCTGTCTGTGTGTGTCTCTCTGTCTCTGTGTGTGTCTGTCTGTGTGTGTCTCTGTCTCTGTGTGTGTGTGTGTCTGTGTGTGTCTCTGTCTCTTTGTGTCTGTGTGTGTGTGTCTGTCTCTCTGTGTGTGTCTGTCTGTGTGTGTCTCTCTGTCTCTGTGTGTGTCTGTCTGTGTGTGTGTGTCTGTGTGTGTCTCTCTGTCTCTGTGTGTGTCTGTCTGTGTGTGTCTCTGTCTCTGTGTGTCTGTCTGTGTGTGTGTGTCTCTGTCTCTCTGTGTGTGTCTGTCTGTGTGTGTCTCTCTGTCTCTGTGTGTGTCTGTCTGTGTGTGTCTCTCTGTCTCTGTGTGTGTCTGTCTGTGTGTGTGTGTCTGTGTGTGTCTCTCTGTCTCTGTGTGTGTCTGTCTGTGTGTGTCTCTGTCTCTGTGTGTCTGTCTGTGTGTGTGTGTCTCTGTCTCTCTGTGTGTGTGTGTCTGTGTGTGTCTCTGTCTGTGTGTGTCTCTGTCTGTGTGTGTCTGTCTGTGTGTCTCTCTGTCTCTGTGTGTGTCTGTCTGTGTGTGTCTGTCTGTGTGTGTCTCTCTGTCTCTGTGTGTGTCTGTCTGTGTAGCTGTGTGTGTCTGTCTGTGTGTGTCTCTCTGTGTCTCTGTGTGTGTCTGTCTGTGTGTGTCTCTCTGTGTGTGTCTCTCTGTGTCTGTCTGTGTGTCTGTCTGTGTCTCTCTGTGTGTATCTCTGTATGTCTGTCTGTGTCTCTCTGTGTGTCTGTCTGTGTGTCTCTCTCTGTGTGTCTCTCTATGTGTCTGTCTGTGTGTGTCTGTCTGTGTGTCTCTCTCTGTGTGTCTCTCTATGTGTCTGTCTGTGTGTGTCTGTCTGTGTCTGTGTGTGTCTCTCTGTCTGTGTGTGTCTCTGTCTCTTTGTGTGTGTCTCTCTCTCTGTCTGTGTCTCTCTGTGTGTCTGCCTGTGTGTCTGTGTCTCTCTGTGTCTGTCTCTGTGTGTGTCTCTGTCTGTATCTCTCTCTGTGTCTCTGTGTGTCTCTCTGTGTCTGTCTCTCTGTGTGTGTCTGTCTCTGTTCTCTCTCTGTGTGTCTATCTCTCTGTGTGTCTCTGTGTGTGTCTCTCTGTGTGTTTCTCTCTCTGTGTGTCTCTCTCTGTGCCTGTCTCTGCGTTTGTCTCTGTGTGTCTGTGTCTCTCTGTCTGTCTCCCTCTGTCTCTTCCCCTTTGTGTGTCTCTCTGTCTCCTTCTGACCCTCTCATCACGACATTGGGATGTCCATTGATCGATCTCTGCATTGCACATTGCATTGACCAAAACATTGAGATTTCCACCGATCCATAAATTGATATCTGCGCATTGCATTCATCTGCACTTTGAGCGATCTCTGCATTGATCTGCGCGTTGTGTGCTCCGCACCGATCCGTCCTCAGACCTCGCCCCGGCATCCCTCCCGGAGGAGCTCTCCTTCTCTGTGCTCCAGACGGGATGTGCGGGGGAGTTCCGCGCGGTGCTCGCAACCCACAGCCCGGCTCCCGCTCAGCTGGGACCTCCGCTCTCCACCGTACGACCGCCCCCCCCTCCCGCCCCCCTCCTCACTCCCCTCCTCACTCAGTGTCGCACTGATCCGTGAGCCCGGATTGTGTGTCTCCTCGCTCCGTGCGTCTTCATCTTCCCCGCCACTAACCGCACCGTGCATATCCACGTCTCTGATGTGTTCCTCCGGTGTGTACGTCACTTGTTCCTCCGAATGCGATCATCGCCATCTGGCGTTCCTTCACCCCCTCCCCGCGTGTCTCAGTTCCTCCACTCCGTTCCGCACCCCGCCCCCCCCCCCCGCGTGTCTCCGTTCCTCCACTCCATTCCGCCCCCCGTGTGTCTCCGTTCTTCAGTTTCGTTCCTCCGTTTCATTCCTCCGTTTCGTTCCTCCAGACGTGCATCCCCCCAGTTCCTCCACTCCCTTCCGCCCCCCGCGTGTCTCTGTTCCTCTACACCGTTCTGCCCCCCGTGTGTCTCCGTTCTTCCGTTTCGTACCTCCGTTTCATTCCTCCGGGCATGCATCCCCCAGTTCCTCCACTCCCTTCCGCTCCCCGTGTGTCTCCAGTCCTCCACTCCGTTCCTCCGTACCTCCTCGCTGTGCATCCCCCAAACCCTCCGCGCAGCGCTTCACCGCCCGTCCCTCCCGCCGCCCCCCGACCCCCGCTCTTCCGAGTGTTGTTGCAAATCACTCCCTATGCTTCACCGTCTTCTGCCCCCCCCCCACCGCTCCCCGTGTCTCTCAGCTCCCCCATGGCGTTCCACCCCACGCCGAGGACCTGCGGGAGCTGCTGCAGAGGGAGCTGCTGTCGGCGGAGCACCTGCCCATCCACGACTTCCAGCGCCTGCAACAGTGAGCAGCGCACGCGCCGTGACGGGATCGAGATGTTGACGACCTCGCCTGGTGTGCAGGAGGTCGTGGGATCGATCCCGACCCTGACGCCTGCTGCTGTATAGTTGGAGTTTGCGTGTCTCTCTCATCATCATCATCACGGTGGCTAGGAGATGTTAACTACCTCGCCTGGTGTGCAGGAGGTCGTGGGTCTGATCCCGACCCTGACGCCTGCTCTATATTTGGAGATTGCGTGTCTCTCTCTCTCTCTCATCATTATCACGGTGGCTAGGAGATGTTAACTACCTCGCCTGGTATACAGGAGGTCGTGGGATCGATCCCGACCTTGACGCCTGCTGCTGTATATTTTGAGTTTGCGTGTCTCTCTCATCATCATCATCACGGTGGCTAGGAGATGTTAACTACCTCGCCTGGTGTACAGGAGGTCGTGGGTTCGATCCCGACCTTGACGCCTTCTGCTGTATATTTGGAGTTTGCGTGTCTCTCTCTCTCATCATCATCATCACAGTGGCTAGGAGATGTTAACTAGCTCGCCTGCTATACAGGAGGTCGTGGGTTCGATCCCGACCTTGACGCCTGCTGTATATTTGGATACAATATGTTTTACTCTTTGTGGCAATAAAACATGTGTCACGATGTTAAAACACCAAACAGCATCCTTATTCAAGGAATCCTGTCTGCATTAACCACACCTACTTGTGGTCAACATGCAAACAAAAAATATGCTCTGGTAATAAATGCATTGTCTTTGAAACTGATTGGTCCAGGTCTGACGGATAATGTTGGAAGCAGCCGGATTATCGCGCACCGGATAATAGCGCAGTGCTGGCTAATGGATGATCGGCCGTACGTACGTACGAGTGACCGTGCACGCGCGCCTGTTCTCCCACCAGCTTCTGGCCGCGCGTGGGGCAAGCCGACTCGCTCTACCACGTGGACACGGGCCCCGCCCCGACCACCGTCCGCGTGGAGCGCAACCCAACCACGGGGGAGCTGCTGGCCTACACCGAGGTACGCGCGCGACGATAAGCCACTTTGCCGCGCCATGAGAAGCCACTTTGTCACATGATGATAGGGCACTACGTCACATGATGAGAACCCACTTTGTCACGTGATGATAGGGCACTACGTCACATGATGAGAACCCACTTTGTCACGTGATGATAGGGCACTACGTCACATGATGATAAGCCACTTTGTCACATGATGATAGGGCACTACGTCACATGATGAGAAGCCACTTTGTCACATGATGATAGGGCACTACGTCACGTGATGAGAAGCCACTTTGTCACGTGATCATGAGCCACTTCGTCGCGTAATAAGAAGCCTTCATCCAGCAGTGGATAGAACCTGGCTCGCGCTTGGGTGACAAGCTGGTCTGTGTGTGTGTCCAGGTGCTAGTGGAGGACACGGGGCTGTCGTCCAAGAATTCGCTGTCCTTCCGTCGTCCACCCGGACCCCCGTCGGAGGCTCTCAGGGGCAGCAACACCAACTTCCCGTTCTGGCCCGGTACGCACCGACGCACAAAGCCAAAGATCCCCCATGTAGCCTTCGCAGACTCTTGGGGCAAGTACTGTTAGTGGTGAGTAGCACCTAGGAAGGCCGGCACGGTGCACGAGGCCAGCACCATGCTCGGCCACCTTTGTGTGCCTTGTGATGTTTACACACCACCACACACAGGTACTCATTTGAGGGCAGACCAAAGATCGTTTTGGATAATCGTCACTAGTGTCGGCCGTGAGTGGGAATCGAACTCATGTCGCCGGGTTCATAGCGCGGCGTGCTAACTGCTGCACCGTTAACGGCTATCTGGGGGATCTTTGTCTTTGAATCTCCCAGTTGAAAGCTTCGAACCCGGCGACCCAAGTTCAATTTCCGCTCACGGCCAACAATAATGGCAAATATCTGAACCGGTCCTGGCCCTCCCCTAGGTTGACAAAACCTTAAATCATGACCTAATGTGTTTTAAATCGATATCAGCAATGGGCAGACAAAGGCGGCCGGGCATGGTGCTGGCCACCCCCACCCCCTCATGCTCCCTGCCGGCCTTGATCGGTGCGACTCGCTAACAGCACTAGCCCCATCATTCAGAACGAGAATATTTTTTTATTAAAACTGGAGGAATCTGATGAGCTCATGAGGCTCGTTTTCACAGTTTGTTAAAGGACCTTTGCCACATGGCCTGGTCACGCTGATTGGATCTAGGTAAAAGGGCAGCCCTGCAAGTGCTTTCCTCAGGCCACTGTTAGCGAAGAGTGCCTCTCCACTAGAGGGAGCTCTACTGCAACCTTCTGTATTGCTTGACTTTATTTCGTAGTAAGGCTTTCCGGGGCAACTTTGTCTTTGTGTTTTTTTTGCATCGCGCAGGAGGGATGGATGAGCCGACGGTGGAGGCCATGAGCGAGCGAAGCGCAGCGGAGGAGGAGCTCGACTTTGAGAATGGTGCATCACACGACGCCATGCCACACCACGTCACGTGACGCACACCTTGTCACGTGACCCACGCACGTCACAACGAACCCCGTGCATTCGCCCGCGGACGCTGTGGCCGATACCGCCGATTTTCCGCCAATTTTATCCCGATCTCCGAGTTCACCACCTCACGACGATGTTGAACTCGGTCGTGAGAGGTGTGAGCCGAAGCTTTCCCAGTCAGAGTTTGATCAATTTTTGTTGGTCGCATCGAGACAATATCCTCGTGATCGCGGCGGCCTTGTTGGATCAGGTCATTCCCGGCCGCGCTGCCGATGTTGTGTAGTGCGATCAAGAATCCGCCCGGAAATCCCTCGCAAAGCAGTTGCAACCGCCGGTTGCCCAGAGAGCGTCCAGCGGATATCAGAGCCACCCCTTGAGAACCCTTTCAAGTGATGTCCATTCTACCTGCAGTGCCACTCACGGCAATGTCCATCGCATGACATTCGAGTGACCTCTGCACGACCCAGTAAAGAGCATCACTCTCGCACCCGCTCTGCTTAATAAACAAAAAAACTTTAAAAATTTTTTTTCATTTTAAAGCTATACTGTAAGCTATTTTTATTTTACCAGGTAAGACCCACTGAGCTTTATAGCTCTCTTTCAGAAGGGACCCAGAAAGGATAGCCCAAAGAAGTGTCTCATCAAGTGGAAATTCTGACAGCCAAATACTAAAACTGCACGTTGGTTCTAAACGTGGAGGGAAAAACCGGAGGACCGGGAGAAAAATCTACGCCACCACGGTGAGACAGACATGCCAACTCCAAATATACAGCAGCAGGCGTCAGGGTCGAGATCAAACCCACGACCTCCTGCATACCAGGCGAGGTAGTCAACATCTCCTAGCCACCGTGATGATGATGAGAGAGAGAGACACGCAAACTCCAAATATACAGCAGCAGGCGTTAGGGTTGGGATCGAACCCACAACCTCCTGCATACCAGGCGAGGTAGTTAACATCTCCTAGCCACCGTGATGATAAGAGAGAGACACGCAAACTCCAAATATGCAGCAGGCGTCAGGGTCGGGATGGAACCCACGACCTCCTGTGTACCAGGTGAGGTAATTAACATCTTGTCACCACGGCGACCGTGAAAGTGGTAGAGCTGTGAAACAGAGGGAAGCCGGACGGGAGCGGCGATGGAGGCTGTAAGAGCGGCCCTTGAAGATCCGGGGTGCTGACTTCACGAACGCCACGTGATCTTGCAGAAGGGAGGCAAGCGATCGACCTCTTGACCCCGTGCAATGTTGTGCTCGCAGACCTCCTCACGGTGCCACCCGGGATGAAGAGAGGCATGGAGTTCAACAAACCAGGTGATGCCATTGAGTTGCAAGCTTTATATTGTTTGACCAGATTGAAACGGTGAACCTGTGCGACAAGCGGCAGGCTGGCTGCCGCTAGGCCACACCGCCACCCCCCGCACTCATCAGTTGTGATTATCGGTTAGTGTCGATGGTGTTGGTGGTGATGACAATGATGATGCTTTGTCGATGTTGACGAAGTTGGTGATGACGCTGCACTACAAACCCGGCGACTCGAGTTCGATTGCCGCTCGCTGCCACCAACACCGGTGACGATTATCCGAAACGGACTTGGGCCTCCCCTAGGTCGACTCGGCCTCAAAGGTGTAGCTGGAGTACTGTGTAAACAACGCCACTGGGGTGCTGGCCACCCGCCCTCTCGTGTACGTGTTCCGTACCGGCCATATCATCGGTGCTGCTTACTAACAGCACTTGCCCCAACGGTCTGTTAAGGCTACACGAGGGATCTTTGGTGATGACGGTAATTTCCATGGTTTCGATATTACAGTGGAATTTACGACGTCGCTTTGTGGTGGTGACGATGGTGCTCTCACCGCCAATGTGGCTGATGTAACTGACGATGTCGTCAATGACCTTGTCGATGACCTTGTCGATGACCTTGTCGATGACCTTTTCGATGACCTTGTCGATGACCTTTTCGATGACCTTCTCGACGACCTTGCCGACGACGCTTTCAGATCGCCCCGTCCCGCGCGGCATCGTGAGCCTCGCCGCCATCCAGCAGGGCCTCGACGAGTTCGACCTGGGAGGCCCCAGCGACGACGACGACGACGACAAGGAGGAGGAGGAAGAAAACGCGTCGACCAAGAAGAAGCAGGAGGAACGGAGGGACCCGACGAAGGGCGGCGCGGCCAGCAAGAGGAGAGAGCGCCAACCCCGGGTGGGAGAGAAGAAACGACAGCAGCGGACGCCGCAGTCGTCCAAGCCGGCCTTCAAGCGCTCCAACAGCCTCGAGGGCCTAGGAGTTCAGGTGCGGTTGAGTGCCACGATGCCACAGAGACACACAACTGCGTGTGGGCGTGTTTGTGTCAAGCAAAAGTTTTTTGTTCGACCGGATAGGGGGAGCTAGACGGGCGTAGGCACGGGCTAGAGAAGAGATGGAGTGGTGTGGTACAAGAGGAAGTGGAGCTGAGTGGACTTGCCGATGACCGGTACCAGCGGTGGCGGTGTTAAGATCGGCCTCTGTGGAGGAGGAGGCTCGTGAAGGACGCTGCTGGGCAGTTGGAGGCAGTCGCCCTCCAGCAACAACGGAGGGCGGAGAAGCGACGCTCACAACATAGAGGGGAGCGCCGGGCGGAGAGTTGTCTCAGCGGGGAGCACGGGTGGTGGTGCATCGGCCAGTCATCTCAGTCGGTCAACCCATGGTAACTCGGTCTGTCCCGTGACCTCTTGACTGCGGGCGTTCGACACTTGACGTGGCAAAGTGCACATAGCCTGGCACAAGCGCCGTGGTGACGTCACCGCCACTTAAGTGGTCGGGATCGAACCCACGACCTCCTGTAGACCAAGCAAGGTAGTCAACATCTCCTAGCCACCGTGATGATGATGAGAGTGAGAGAGACACGCAAACTCCAAATATACAGCAGCAGGCGTCAGGGTCGGGATCGAACCCACGACCTCCTGGAAACCAGGCGAGGTAGTCAACATCTCCTAGCCACCGTGATGATGATGAGAGTGAGAGAGACACGCAAACTCCAAATATACAGCAGCAGGCGTCAGGATCGGGATCGAACCCACGACCCTCTGGCACGTGAGGCGAGGTAGCCACCGTGGCGGTCCCTTTATGACGAATAAAGCCACCACGGCAAACCACGCATGTGCACGATTCTTCTTCTTCCCCTGTTGGCTTCTGTCTTTAAAGGAGTCCGTGCCTGAGGGAAAGGCCGGGGCCGTGGGGGCTGTACCACCCTCACCCCTGGTGGTGGCAGGGGGGGGGAAGGAAGAGGAGGAGCGCTGGGCCATCCCCTTGGACGTGAGCACGCCCGTGCCCGACTTCCACAAGCGGGTGCCCAACCCGGCGTTCAAGGTGAGAGGCGGGCAGGCACTGTTTGTCTACCGTTCGTCTCACGACAACGCTAACGCGAGCTCGAGCACTAGCCAGGGCAATAGACGCAAGTCTGAAGGTAAATCAATGTGTGGAGTGCATTTGCATACGCCATGTGCATGATTGAGCAAGAGACCACAAGGGGGCAGCAACACTAACAAAGCGACTGTGGCCCCTTCCTCCACTCCCTCCCGCTCCCTCACCTCCCACCCTCTCTCTCTCCCACCCTCCCTCCCACCACTACCTCCCTCCACTCCCTGCCTCCCCTCCCACCACTCCCTCCACTCCCTCTCTCTACTCCCTCCACTCCCTCCACTCCCTCTCTCTACTCCCTCCACTCCCTCTACTCCCTCTCTCTACTCCCACCACTCCCTCCACTCCCTCCACTCCCTCTCTCTACTCCTCCACTCCCTCTCTCTCCTCCCTCCACTCCCTCCCTCCACTCTCTCCATCTACTCACTCCCTCTACTCCCTCTGATCCCTCCACTCCCTCCACTCCCTCCACTCCCTTCCACTCCCTCCCTCCCACCCTCCACTCCCTCCACTACCACCCTCCACTCCCTCCACTCTCTCACTCCACTCCCTCCACTCCCTCTACTTCCTCTGATCCCTCCACTCCCTCCCCCCGTCAGTGGCCCTTTGAGCTGGACACGTTTCAGAAGCAGGCGATCCTGCGGCTGGAGAACCACGAGTCGGTGTTCGTAGCGGCGCACACGTCGGCCGGCAAGACGGTGGTGGCCGAGTACGCCATCGCGCTGTCGCAGCGCAACATGACGCGGTACGGGCGGCGGCGGCGCTGGCGGCGCCGTAGTGGTAGCAGCACTGGTGGAGCCAGTGGGGGGGGGGGGAGGTGGGGTGGCACGTGCCCCCCCAATGATCCGATCGAAATCCGGTTTATTAGTAATAAATTGGCATTTTGCGAGCCTCACTGCCACTGTGTAGCATATTATTACGTGCCAGGGACTCGATGAGATGATAGGACAATAGTCTGAGTCCATAATTGGCAATAAGTAACGGCAAAGCAGTCATAAGTGACTCGCAGAATTGTGCGCAGTTGCGTACACAGGACACGACTTCCCTGAAGGCATCAACACCTTCAGCGAGCGCGATGCCGATCACACAACGCGGTTCGAATTCGACCCTCGATCGATGGCTGTGCCATCGCTGCACACGCGTCGAATAAAAAGCAAGGAACAAGCCCTTACTTTATAATTGGTTTTTTACCCTTCTATCTGGCAACAAAACTGACACTTTTTTTTTACAAAGAGTCATGTTTGCATAGACCACAATACCTACAGTCATAATGCAAACAAAAAACATAACTCTGATAATGTATGCACTGTCCTTGAAGTTGATTGTTCCACACCCGAGACAGCTTTCCTTAGAGCCTAGTCTCACATGGGTTGGACCAGATGACGCCAAAAGGCGCACAACTCAAAGACAATGCACCATCAGAGTATGAGAGCTCCGGGTAAGCATTTACACCATTGGGACCTCATTTGCCAGTAACAAATATGACAATCGGTTTTTTACCCTTTTATCTGGCAACAACTCCTATCATTTCTCATTGCTGGAGCAGCACCCGCTCCATGCGGGAAACAACAAGGGACCCCTGGGTTCGATTCCCGATCCGGGCGATGAGCTGTGCAGAATTTTGTCTGTTTGTCTGTGCTCCCCCCTCTCTCCCCGCCCTGTTCTGCAGAGAGTGTTGAGTGGGTAAGTGTGTGCGAGCGGATGAATGTGTGAAGTTGGTGGAGAGCGGGTGAGCGGACGAGTGTGTGAATGGGTGAGTGTGTGAAGTGGGTGAGTGTGTTTGGGTGTGCGAGTGGGTGTGTGGGTGAGTGTGTGTGCTATGTCTGGGGAGCGGTAGTGTAGCGGTTAGCGAGCTGCACTACGAATCCGGCGACCCGGGTACAATTCTCGCTCAAGAACAACACCAGTGAAGATTATCTGAGCCGTTTCTGGGCCTCCTTTGGGTTGTCTCAGCCTCAAATGAGTACCTTGTGCAGTGTGTTAACACCGCTACTGGGGAGACAATGGCGGCCAGGCGTGGTGCTGGCCACCCACCCCCTCGTGTGCCGTGCCGGCCTTCATAGGTGCTCGCTAACAGCACTTGCCCCAAAAGTCTGTTCAGGCTATACAGGGGATCTTTGTTTTTTGTGCTGTGTGTGCCTTGTGATCCACGTGCATTGAAGAACGACTTTTTCTCTATCTTGCACTCAAGCGTCGTTGGGTTTGTTTGTTGATGTAATTGACTAACCCCGCGCCTCCGATTCGCATAGTTGGCTACGTACGGTGCGGAAGAAGTTCATTATACATCCGTACATACAACCCCCGGTGCCCCTACGAGACAATGTGAAAAATAGCTTTGTAGCTCATTGCATTCTTCCAGGATTGGTAAAGAAACTGATTCCGAATAGGCCCCGGAAAAGCGCTCGCTGGTGTCCACGTCACGCGTTGTTTCTGTCCCCGTCCGTCCCTTGGTGTCGCAGGACCATCTACACGTCGCCAATCAAGGCGCTGTCCAACCAGAAGTTCCGCGACTTCAAGGCGACGTTCAAGGATGTGGGGCTCCTCACGGGAGACGTGCAGCTGCACCCCGAGGCCTCCTGCCTCATCATGACCACCGAGATCCTGCGGTGCGACCCCCTCGACCGCCCGCCCGCCTGCCCGCGCGAATCGCTCGCTCACTCGCTCGTGCGGTTACTCACGAGACGATTCGCTCGCTCGCCCGCCGCTCCGTCGTTCACTCGCTTGCCCTTTCATTCAGTCACTGACTCATTCGCTCACATTTTCGCACGCTCATCCGTTCGCTCGCTGCATCCGTTGACTCTTTCATTCGCACACCGACTCATTCGCTCACGTGGTCGCACGCTCGCTCACTCCATCGTTCATTCTCCCACCCGCTCGCCCTTTCATGCGCTCACCGACTCATTTGCTCACATGCTCGCATGCACGCTCGCCCACTTGCTTGCTCGCTCACTCGAACACTTACATTGAGAGTGCAGGAAAGCTCCCTTTTAGCCGTATTGATGTGGGAAGGGAGTGGGGCACGGTTTGCGGATCCTATTATCCGGGAAGATGGCTCCTGGATATAGGAAGATAAAACGCGCATTACAGGGTGAATTTGACTTTGCCACCACTTGTCATTTTTTACTCCTCTGCTCCGCGAAGGAGGGTGCGGATAAGAGGATGGATTTCGGAATCTCATCAGATCACTTGTGCCATCTGTTGTCACAAGCGGCGAGATGTTACCTACCTCACCTGGTATACAGGAAATCGTGGGTTCGATCCCGACCCTGACGTCTGTATATTTGGAGTTTGCTCATCTTTTTCTTTTCGGTTTTACACCCAACATTTAGAATCAACATCACGCGTTTCGAGCATTTGGCTGCTATGAATTTCCACGCGATAATCCACTCGTTTGAGCTTCCATCTGTGGCCAGGTCACTCATGAAAGAGAGCTACACAGATTTAAAGCTTTCGTGACTGCAGGGATTCATCTTCTTGGTTCTTAAAGTCACGTAGAAGGGAAATAATAAAATAATAAAAATTAAACATAATAAAATAATTCTCACGACGTTTCGGCCACAACGCAAGCAGCCGTCCTCAGGTGAAGAACAGAGCTGTCATTCGGACGCTGTCTTTCCGACAGCCCTGTTCTTAATAATAAAGATAAAAAAAATTTGCTTGAAAGTTTTGCCGGTGCCAGCTGCAACTGCTGTTGCTGCTACGTTCGCTACAGTTGCTTCTCTTTACTGTTGCTGCTGCTGCTTCTGTTGCTGTTCTCAATTGCTGCTGCTGCTGCTGCTGTTGCCGTTACAGCTCCATGCTGTACAATGGCTCGGACGTGATCCGCGACCTGGAGTGGGTGATCTTTGATGAGGTTCACTACGTTAACGACGCTGAGGTGAGTGGCTGATGGATTATAACGATGGTGATGATGGTGATGATGGCAGTGATGGTGGTGATGATGGTGATGATGGCAGTGATGGTGGTGATGATGGTGATGATGGCAGTGATGGTGGTGATGATGGTGATGATGATGATGGTGATGACGGCGGTGATGGTGGTGACGATGGTGATAACGGTGTTGATGACGACGGTGATGATGACGGTGATGACGGTGATGACGGTGATGACGGTGGTGACGGTGGTGACGGCGGTGGTGATGGTGGTGATGGTGGTGATGACGGTGGTGATGGCGGTGATGGCGGTGATGATGGTGATGGCGGTGATGACGGTGGTGATGGCGGTGATGACGATGATGATGGTGATGATGATGACGGTGATGATAGTGATGAAGATGGTGATGATTGCGATGACAATGGCGATGACGATGTGGAGCGACATTACAATGCCTCCGGTTGACGACGTTGACGATGTCAACGTTAACGACGACGTTAACGATGATGTTGACGACGACCTTGATGACGTTAACGTCGACGTTAACGACGGCGGCGTTAACGATGTGCGCAGAGAGGCGTGGTGTGGGAGGAAGTGCTCATCATGCTGCCGGAACATGTCAACCTCATCCTGCTGAGCGCCACCGTCCCCAACACGCTGGAGTTTGCCGATTGGATCGGGTGAGGAGTGACTTGAGGCTCGCAATCCGAATCGGTCGGCCTTCTCTGTGGCAGCAATCATCGCTGCTTTCCTCCCCCCCCCCCCCCCCCCCCCCCCATTGGCTTAAGACTGATACTCTTAGCTTTTTCGGTAAAGTCACGTAGGTAAAAAATGAAATTAAAATTAATAAAAGTAATAATAGAAATAAAATAATAAAAAATCACGACGTTTCGGAGGCAACACAAGTCTCCGTCATCAGGTGGGACCGTCACAGCCAGATTTTTATTAATTTAAATTTAAATTTTTTACCTACGTGACTTTACCGAAAAAGCTAAGAGTATGAATCCTTGCAGTCACGAAAGCTTCAAATCTAGAATTAAGACTGATACTGTCACTGCCTTCGCTGTGCCACCGCTCTCTCTCCCACCGCTCTGCCACTGCTGTGCCATCGCTGCTTCTGCCACCGCCATCTCCACCACCGCCACCGCCGCTGTCTCCGCCGTCTCTGCTGCTATCGCTGCCTCTGCCACCGCCACCGCCGCTGTCTCCGCCGTCTCTGCTGCCTTCGCTGCCTCTGCCACCGCCATCTCCGCCACCGCCGCTGTCTCCGCCGTCTCTGCTGCTATCGCTGCCTCTGCCACCGCCGCTGTCTCCGCCGTCTCTGCTGCCTTCGCTGCCTCTGCCACCGCCATCTCCGCCACCGCCGCCGTCTCCGCCGTCTCTGCTGCTATCGCTGCCTCTGTCACCGCCACCGCCGCTGTCTCCGCCGTCTCTGCTGCCTTCGCTGCCTCTGCCACCGCCATCTCCGCCACCGCCGCTGTCTCCGCCGTCTCTGCTGCTATCGCTGCCTCTGCCACCACCGCCGTCTCCGCCGTCTCTGCTGCCATCGCTGCCTCTGCCACCGCCATCTCCGCCACCGCCGCTGTCTCCGCCGTCTCTGCTGCCATCGCTGCCTCTGCCACCGCCATCTCCGCCACCGCCACTGTCTCCGCCGTCTCTGCTGCCTTTGCCACTTCTGCCTTCTGCCATCACCATCTCCGCCGCCACCGCCACTGTCTCCGCCGTCTCTGCTGCAATCGCTGCCTCTACCGCGCAGCCGCACCAAGCGCAAGAAGGTTTACGTGGTGAGCACGGCCAAGCGGCCGGTGCCCCTGGAGCACTTCCTGTACACGGGCAACAGCCAGAAGACGCAGGGGGAGCTCTTCCTGCTGCTCAACTCGGCGGGGACGTTCGCGACGCGGGCACACGCGGACGCCGTCGAGGCGAAGCGCGAGCGCACGAGCAAGCACGCGCAGAGCTTCGGGGCCAAGCAGCCCGTGCAAGGCGGCGGGCCCAAGCAGGTGCGCGGACGGCCGTGGCGGCGGTGGTTGTGATGGCGATGATGACGATAGTGGTGATGATGATTGTGATGATGATGGTGATGATGATGGCTGTGATGACGCCAATGGCGATGATGATTGTGATGATGATGGTGATGATGATGGCTGTGATGACGATAGTGGCGATGATGATTGTGATGATGATGGTGATGATGATGGCTGTGATGATGCCAATGGCGATGATGATTGTGATGATGACGATGACGGCGATGGTGATGGTGATTGTGATGATGGTGATGACGATGATGACGATTATGGTGATGATGATTATGATGATGATGGCGATGATAATTGTGATGATTGTGATGATGACGACGATGGTGATAAAGATTGTGATGATGACAGTGATTATGATGATGACGATTATGGTGATGATGATTATGATGGCGATGATAATTGTGATGATTGTGACGACGACGACGATGGTGATGTCGATTGTGTTGATCGTGATGACGATGATGACGATTATGGTGATGATGATTATGATGACGATGGCGATGATGATTGTGATGATGACGACGATGGTGATAAAGATTGTGATGATGACGGTGATTTTGATGATGGCGATGATGACGCCGATGGCGATGATGATTGTGATGACAACGGCGATGGTGGTGAAGATTATGATGATGACGATGACGATGAAGACGATTATGGCGATGGTGATGATGGCAACGACGATGGTGATGATGATTATGATGATGACGATGACGATTATGGTGATGATGACGGCGATTCGAGGCCGGCTCCGTTGAATTTAGAGTTCATGTCGCAGTGGTAACTAACGGCTGTGCCTCACAGCAGCGAGAATCACCTGGGTTCGATTCCAGCCCCGATCACCTTTTGCTGTGTGGGAGTTTGTATATGCTGCCCCCTCTTCTTGCATGGGTTTCCTCTGGCTTCACCAGTTTCATCACAATACCACCACCACCACCACTGTCTCTGCTACCACCACCTCCACTACCACCATCACCGCTGCCACCACTGTCTCCATCACCACCACCACCACAAAGAGACAGCCAAAGATGCCCCGTATAGCCTCCACAGACTGTTGGGGCAAGTGCTGTTAGCGAGTCGCACCTATGAAGGTCACCACCACCACTGCACCGGCACCGATCGCCACCTCCGCCCGCGCGCTGTTCCCGCAGGACAAGGGCGTGTGGCTGTCGCTGCTGGACAGCCTGCGGCGGCGGGACCAGCTGCCCGTGGTGGCGTTCACGTTCTCGCGCAACCGCTGCGACGAGACGGCGTCGGGCCTCACCACGCTGGCGCTCACCACCGCCGCCGAGCAGAGCGAGATCCACGTCTTCTTCCGCAAGTGCATCTCCCGCCTCAAGGGCACCGACCGCAGCCTGCCGCAGGTGGGGGGAGTGGAACTGCTGCTGCAGAGCGACCGTGCAGCAGCAGCAGCAGCAGCATAGGGACGACGACAAAAACAATGACGACGACGACAACGATGACGATGACGAGTAATGTGGTGCAACCCCCCTCCCCCCCCCCCCCCCCCACCACCACCGCACTTGCAGGTGCTGCAGATGGAGATGCTGCTGAAGAGAGGCGTCGGAGTGCATCACAGCGGCATCCTGCCCATCCTCAAGGAGGTGGTGGAGATGCTGTTCTCGCGGGGACTCGTCAAGGTGCCGTGACGACGGGGCGGGCGATGTGAGATGACGGGAGGGCGGTTTCAGTTTTGTTGCGAGAAAAAAAGGGGATAAACCTTATTATTGTACTTTGGTACTGGCAAAGGAGGTCCAATGATGTAGATGATCACCCCGAGCCCTCATTACTTTGATAGTGCATTGTCTTTGAGCTGTGGACGCCTTTTGGCGTCCTCTGGTCAAGCACCAATTGGGTCGAGGCTCAATAGAAAGCCGTCCCTTGGTGTGGACCAATCAGTTTCAAGGACAATGCATTATATATTATCGGTGTGTGTTTTTTGTTTGCATTTCACTGCAGGTATTGTGGTTAATGCAGACATGAATCCTTGTAAAAAGGTTTCAGTTTTGTTGCCAGAAAAAAGGGGAAAAACCCTTTTATTAGGGCGGGTGATGTGAGACGATGGGGAGGGTGATGTGAGATGATGGGAGGGCAATGTGAGATGATGGGAGGGCGATGTGAGATGATGGGAGGGTGATGTGAGATGATGGGGCAGGCGATGTGAGATGATGGGGAGGTCGATGTGAGATGACGACGGGGAGGCGATGTGAGATAATGGGGAGGGCGATGTGAGATGATGGGAGGGCGATGTGATATGATGGGGCAGGCGATGTGAGATGATGGGGCAGGCGATGTGAGATGATGGGAGGGCGATGTGATATGATGGGGCAGGCGATGTGAGATGATGGGAGGGCGATGTGATATGATGGGGCAGGCGATGTGAGATGATGGGAGGGCGATGTGATATGATGGGGCAGGCGATGTGAGATGATGGGAGGGCGATGTGATATGATGGGGCAGGCGATGTGATATGATGGGAGGGCGATGTGATATGACGATGGTGTGGGCGATGTGAGATGATGGGGAGGGCGATGTGATATGATGGGGCAGGCGATGTGAGATGATGGGAGGGCGATGTGATATGGCGACGGGGTGGGCGATGTGAGATGATGGGAGGGCGATGTGATATGATGGGGCAGGCGATGTGAGATGATGGGAGGGCGATGTGATATGACGACGGGGTGGGCGATGTGAGATGATGGGGAGGGCGATGTGAGATGATGGGAGGGCGATGTGATATGACGATGGTGTGGGCGATGTGATATGATGGGAGGGCGATGTGATATGACGACGGGGCGGGCGCTTGTGTGGTTTGCCGCGCAGGTGCTGTTCGCCACGGAGACGTTTGCGATGGGCGTGAACATGCCGGCCCGCACCGTGGTCTTCGACTCGATCCGCAAGCACGACGGCACCAACTTCCGAGACCTCTCCCCGGGTACCGGCACACGATTCATGCACTTGGCCGGGCAGGCGGTGGCGGTGGCGGTGGCGGTGGCTGTGGCGGTCGCTGTGGCGGTGGCGGTGGCGGTGGTGACGGTGACGGTGGTGGCGGTCGTGGTCACGCACGTGGCCGCTCGTAGTCCTGAAGTGTTGTGGAGGCAGCGGTGGCGAGGGTTGTTGGATGATTGCACGGGGATGTTGTGTGAAATTCCCTTCCCCCCACCTCCGCCGTGGGCGTCGAGGAGGAGCCGTTACCCCGGCTCGCCTGGCAGAAGGCGGCACAGCAAGAGACGTGGACTCTCCACCTGTGCCGTCTACGTAGCCTAAGCATTATGGGACACTTTGAGTACACAAAACCCCACGTGCGAGGGGGCAACACTCGATGCTGTAGCCAACTGTGCTAATCGGAGGTGCGGGAGTTTGGGATTGACACGGCCTATCATCTCTCTTTGAGGCACCATGGTGGCTAGGAGATGTTTTCTCCCTCGCCTGGTATACGGATGGTCGTGGGTTCGATCCCAACCCTGACACCTATATGTATTCAGAGTTTTGCACGTTCTCCCCTTGGTCGCGTGGATTAGAATCTAGCGTTTCAGAGTATTTGACCGCTATAGATTTCCACGTGATTAGAAGCCAACTTCATTGAGCTATCAGTTGTGGCCGGGTCGCTTCTGAAAAAGAGCTTTATAGCTTAGTGGGGATTACCTGGTCAAATAAAACATAGCGAGCTAAAATAGCTATTACTAAAGTTATAGGGATTCGTGAACACCTGAATGGCGAAACTAAACGTGACACGGTGGCGGATGTCTTTTTCTGATGCGGTCATTTGTTGGCTGGGACTCAGAGCGCCAAGTCCTCTTGACTTGGGAATAAGAATCCGAATATTTATTTATAACTGGAGGAATCCGATGAGCTATGAAGCTCGTTTTCACAGATGTCGGGGCGGTTAATAACGTTACAACAACAGACAGTACAAAAACACGAGTGCAGAGTACGAGGAATGTAAACAAATCCCCCAAACGCACACAAATCAAACGAAACCATCCCCATCCTACCAGGCAGAGCCCACTGAGGTACTAGCGAATTGTTCACAAGCGACCTGGCCACAAATGATAGCTCAACAAACTGCCAAATCGCTGTCCTTGATGCTGACGTCAGGAAAAACTGCCACTTTTTAAATCCTTTATATTAAGTTCGCTTGCTTGCTTGCTTGCTTACGACCATGTAAACCTTTCGGTCGTTTTTTAACCCACTTCCCGTGATCCAATCGAGCTGACATTTTGCACACAGACTCGTTGTGCGAGACAATTAATGTTCGTGAAATTTTTTTTCTAAAATTTTACACTGTTTAGGGAAAACAAATTAAATATTTAATTACCAATTGTTTAATACTGCAAACAATCATCTGACCCATAGGTGGCAGCCATCTCAAGCCAGAGGACGAGAGGACTCTAGCCGCCACGCATATAAAGGATTTAGAGTGAAAAACTTTGTTTTTACGGGTTAATTTTTTCAATTTTCTTGCTGTGGATTTCACACCTGATGATGATTTGCTTGTGTTGCAGTGGAAATGTCGTGATAATTTTTATTGCTTTATATTTATATTATTTTATTATTTCCCTTCTACGTGACTTTACCGAAAAAACCAAGAATATGAATCCCTGCAGTCACGAAAGCTTTAAATCAAAAGTGGCTTATCGTTTGGGCATTTATAGCAGCAAATTCATCTCAATAGTCTTAAACGCATGTTTGTAAATGCGGAGGGAAAAAAAACCGGAGTGCAGTTTCACCACAGCCGGGCGGGCGGTGAAGACCCCAGATCTCGACCCAGCGTTCCAACGGTGTCTGCTATGCGCACCTCCCACGAACTATCCGGCCGCCCGTAACATACGTATGTCGTACGCGTGTGCGCGTGTTAACTTCTCTCGCGCCGTACGTAGCCGACCGTGCTAATCGGAGGTGCGGGAGTGTGGGATTAACTCGGCCTGTCTTCCCTCTGTGTTGAAGAGAATGGGAACCACGTTTGTGGAAGGTCAACGGTGCTGTCTCTTCACGGACACATTCACCCCCAGCTGTGTGAATGTGGGATTTCCAGCTCTGGCGCGGATTTGTCAAGAGGAGATCAGCGCTCCTCTCTCTTGATCTTGAATTAAATGGTTTCGGGAATGTTGAGGGGAGCAGCGGGGGTCTGGACGCGCTGCCTCATCACGCCCTGACCCCCACTGCTCCGTATTTGCCCCCTCCCCACCCCACAACTTGCCAGCCCTTTCACCTGTGGCTGCCCTCCTTGGTCTGTGTCATTACCCTTTGACCCCGTTTATACATATATATTTTTTAAAATTAATCCTCGACCCCGTGCCCGCCCTGCCTCCCCTCCCCCAGGAGAGTACATCCAGATGGCGGGGCGCGCGGGCAGACGCGGACTCGACACCACGGGCATGGTGATCATCCTGTGCAAGATGGGCGTGCCGGAGATGTCCGACCTGCACAAGATGATGCTGGTGAGCGCTGGCGCTGCCACCGCCCCCCTCTGCTGTAGGTGGGCGATGCGGTGGCTAGGAGATGTTAACTACCTCGCCTGGTATACAGGAGGTTGTGGGTTCGATCCCGACCCTGACGCCTGCTGTATATTTGGAGTTTGCATGTCTCTCTCTCATCATTATCACGGTGGCTAGGAGATGTTAACTACCTCGCCTGGTATACAGGAGGTTGTGGGTTCGATCCCGACCCTGACGCCTGCTGTATATTTGGAGTTTGCGTGTCTGTCTCTCATCATCATCACGGTGGCTAGGAGATGTTAACTTCCTCGCCTGGTATACAGGAGGTTGTGGGTTCGATCCCCACCCTGACGCCTGCTGTAAATGTGGAGTTTGCGTCTCTCTCTCTCATCATCATCACGGTGGCTAGGAGATGTTAACTTCCTCGCCTGGTATACAGGAGGTTGTGGGTTCGATCCCCACCCTGACGCCTGCTGTATATTTGGAGTTTGCGTGTCTCTCTCTCATCATTGTCACGGTGGCCAGATGTTAACTACCTCGCCTGGTATACAGGAGGTTGTGGGTTCGATCCCGACCCTGACGTCTGCTGTATATTTGGAGTTTGAGTGTCTCTCTCTCTCATCATCATCACGGTGGCTAGGAGATGTTTACTACCTCGCCTGGTATACAGGAGGTTGTGGGTTCGATCCCGACCCTGACGCCTGCTGTATATTTGGAGTTTGCGTCTCTCTCATCATCATCACGGTGGCTAGGAGATGTTAACTTCCTCGCCTGGTATACAGGAGGTCGTGGGTTCGATCCCGACCCTGACTCCTGCTGCTGTATATTTGGAGTTTGCGTGTCTCTCTCTCTCCCTGTGGTTGCGTGGATATTTCTCTGGGTCCTCCGGTTTTTCCCTCCACATTTAGAATCATCTCTATGCGTTTAGAGTATTTGACTGCTATAAATTTCCACGTGGTGATAAGGCGCTTCGTTGAGCTATCATTTGTGATGTCAAGGTCGCTTGTGGTGAAATAAAAAATATGTAGTTTTAAAATAGTTTGCGCACGTTTTTTGTGTCTGTTTGTACAGGGCAAGCCCACGAAGTTGGAGTCTCAGTTCCGCCTCACGTACACCATGATCCTGAACCTGCTGCGCGTGGAGGCGATCCGCGTGGAGGACATGATGAAGAGGAGCTTCTCCGAGTTCCACACGCGCAAGGACGCCAAGGTTCAACAACCGCCACAACAACAACAACAACCGCCATTCGCCACCGAATGGCGGTGACGTCACCGCGGCGCTTGTGCCAGGCTATGTGCACTTTAAGGCCACGTGAGGTGTCGAACGCCCGCTGGCAGGAGGTCACAGGACAGACCCAGGTGCCATGGGTAGACTGATTCACAGGCACACATGCACACACCTCCGATTTGCACGGTTGGCTACGTACGATGCGAAAGAAGTTCAACATACATGAGAAGAGTGATCGCCCCTATAGCCTTATTAGCAAGTAGCACCTATGAAGGCTGAACGGCACACGAAGGGGTGGGTGGCCAGCACCACCTCCGGCCGCCTCGCCAATGGCGATGTGTTATCACACCGCACCGGGTACACATTTAAGGGCTGAGTCGACCTAGGGGAGGCCCAGGAATGGTTCAGATAATTGTCACTGGTGTTGGTCGTGAGCAGGAATCGAACTCGGGTCGCCGGGTTCGTAGCGCAGTGTGGAGCACGTATGTGGAGTTACATGTGGAGCACGTGTGTGGATAACGAGCGTATAGTACGTGTAGCAGAAGTCGCAAACGGGTTTTGATTCCTTTCCCGTACCCGGCCGGATACGGGTACCCGTACGCTACCCGTACCCGTACCCTACCCGATATGAGTGACAAACGGTTACTCACCGGTGACTCACGGCCTACCCGTACCCGGCCGCACCAGGGTCGCAAACGGATACCCGTACCCGGCCAGGTACGGGTAGCCGAGTATCGGGTAGGGTACGGGTATCGGGTACCCGGTTGCGACCTCTGACGTGTAGACTACGTGTGCATGTCTCATGTGAATGATTATCAAGAGACCACAAGGGGGCAGCGACACTCACAAAGCGACTGTGACCACCCCTCCCTCTACTCCCCTCCATTCCCTGCCCCCCCCCACGCCCCCTCCACCACCCCCCGCCGCCACACACAGGAGCACGAGCACAGGGTGCGGCACCTCTCAGCGCGGCTCTCTGGGATGGCGGAGGCCGACTGCTCGGGCCAGCTGTCGGACCTGCCCGAGTACCACGCTTGCGCCCGCCAGTTCGTGGAGCTGCGCTGCGAGGCGCTGCGCGGCGCCGCCGCCACCTCCGCCGGCGCCCGCGCCCTCTTGCCGGGCCGCGTGGTGGTCGCCAACTCGTCCCGCGCGCCCAACTCGCTCGCCGTGCTGCTGCAGGTGCCGCCCTGGGGGGGTCGGGGTTGGGGCAGAGGTCGCAAACGGGTTTTGATTCCTTACCCGTACCCGGCCGCACCAGGGTCGCAAACGGGTACCCGTACCCGTACCCTACCCGATACCCGGCTACCCGTACCCGGCCGGTTATCGGGTAGGGTACGGGTATCGGGTACCCGATTGCGACCTCTGGGATGAAGCCATGTTGCAGGCGCGGGTGGGTTGATTCTAGAAACTTGAATTGTGAGAAGAGTCAAGACGTTGGGAAATGAGTGACTCACGGCCTACCCGTACCCGGCCGCACCAGGGTCGCAAATGGCTACCCGTACCCGGCTGGGTACGGGTAGCCGGGTATCGGGTAGGGTACGGGTATCGGGTACCCGGTTGCGACCTCTGGTTTGGGGGGTGGTGCAGGCGGTAGGTCGCCGGGTTTGTAACACGGTGCCCTAACCGCTGCGCCGCCGATCCCCACTGTGGACCGAGCTGACCACGCAGAATATTTATTTCTACTGGAGGAATCCTCAATAAATCCGATAGTCCGGCTCTAATAATCGTTGTCATTGTAATGATGTGCGTACGTTGAACTTCTTTCGCACCGTACGTAGCCAGCCATGCTACTCGGACAACAAACTAAACACTAAAAAGCAGTTCTGAAGAAATTCGTTTTCAATCTCGATTATTTAAAAAGTGCATCGTTCAAGCGGGCTTCCTAATATCGGAAGACGGCCACAGAAACGCACCTGAAAGCGCACGACGCAGTGACCGCCTCTGTTCGACCGCCAGCCAAAAGCCGCTGCCTTCGAGGATGGCCGGAGTTTGCGTAATGGTTTTTGCTCCTTGACAGGACCGGCAAACTTTTGTGGTTCATTCGTGGCGTGCACTTTTGTGTGTAATGAGCGCAACCTTGTAATGCGTTCGTGCGGCAACCAATGCAGCTGTGCGAGCACCGGGCTGTGTGTGTATGTACTGTGTTGAATTTCCATTTAAAGCTTTCGTGACTGCAGGGATTCATCTTCTTGGTTCTTTCGGTAAAGTCACGTAGAAGGGAAATAATACAATAAAAATTAAACATAATAAAATACAATTCTCACGACGTTTCGGCCACAACGCAAGCAGCCGTCCTCAGGTGAAGTACAGGTCTTAATTTAGACGCTGTCTTTCCGACAGACCTGTTCTTCACCTGAGGACGGCTGCTTGCATTGTGGCCGAAACGTCGTGAGAATTGCATTTTATTATGGTTTATTATTTATTATTTTATTATTTCCCTTCTACCTGACTTTACCGAAAGAACCAAGAAGATACTGTGTTGAACTTCTTTCGCACTGTACATAGCCGACCGTGCTAACCGCGTGTGCGTTCCGGCGACTCCGTGCCGGGTTTTTTTAGTTTTTTTTTCTCTCTCTCCCCCAGGTGTCCACGGAGGCCGGCGGTTCGAGGTCGTACACAGCGCTCGTGCTCTGCGAGCAGAAGCTGGCGGCCGAGGGAGGGGGGGCAGCCCCCCCCCGCCCTCCTCCGCCCCCTCCGGCGCCGACTCCGGACCACCTGCTGGCCACCAAAGTGTTCGTGCCCGAAGGTACGAGAGCCTCCCTCCCTCCCGTCGTCGTCGTCATCGTAATCAGCCGTGGTCTGTCCTGCCTAAGCCGTCGCCATCTCTCGCGGTCTCCTGATGTTGCGGCAATGCTTCTAGCTGTCTCCATCGTGATCGTGGTTATCGTCGTTGTCGTCGTGATCATCACCACCATCCCCCCCACCCCGTACCCGGCGTACAGGGGCGTGCGGTCACTCGGTGGAGAAGCTGCGAATCGACGACATCGTCGTGATCGCCGACCGCGCGCTGAAGATCAGCCCCGAGAAAATCATCGACGACTTCAACAAGAGGCAGATCCCGCGATTCAGGTGGGCCCTGTTTGGGTGGGGGGGGGCGGCTGCTGCGATGACGTCACCGAGCGACGATTCGAATGATTGCCACGATTCAGGATCGCGATTCGACTCGTGGTTCGATTAATTTTATTCGTAATAATAACAGCCTGGTGTCAAAGTACAGTCAAATCAGAATCTAAATATTTGTTTATACTGGAGGAATCCGATGAGCTATAAAGTTATTTTTCACAGAAGGTTACATAAACAAGTGATAGAAAAACACAATAGGAGTGCAAAGTATAGGAAAGGTAAACACATCACTGAAAAGAATATTAAAATAAAACTAAACTATTTTTTTTTATCTCACCAGGGTAAGGCCCATTGAGGTATTAGCTTACTTTTCAGAAGTGCCTGGCCACAAATTGTAGCTCAACGTAGTGGCTTATCGTGTGAACATTTACAGGGGCACAATAATCAAAACGCATGCGTCTAAATGTACAGGGGAAAAACCGGAGCACCCGGAAAAAAAAATCCATGACCGCTTCCCCCTAACTTCCACGGGATGGGGAGGCCCTCATCCAGCAGTGGATTGACTAAGGGATGCAGATGTACACGTGGCAGAGGTCGCAACCGGGTACCCGATACCCGTACCCTACCCGATACCCGGCTACCCGTACCCGGCCGGGTACGGGGGTACGGGTACCCGTTTGAGACCCTGGTGCGGCCGGGTACGGATACGGGTAGGCCGTGAGTCACTGGTGAGTAACCGTTTGTCACTCATTTCCCAACGTCTTGTCTCTTCTCTGAATTCAAGTTCCGAGAATCAACCCACCCGCGCCTGCAACATGGCTTCATCCCAGAGGTCGCAATCGGGTACCCGTACCCTACCCGATACCCGGCCGGGTACGGGTAGCCGGGTATCGGGTAGGGTACGGGTACCCGTTTGCGACCCTGGTGCGGCCGGGTATGGGTAAGGAATCAAAACCCGTTTGCGACCTCTGACACGCGGTGATGTGGGACGATTGTTGGTGGCTATTTTGGATGGGCTGTGAAATGTTGTTTTAGCCATCGGGTTCATGTATACTTTTGAGACTAATATGTCTTATCATTTTGCGTTAGTTCCATCCATCTAACACGCGGTCACGATAACTGGTAAAGGCGATCCGACACGAACGACACTTTTAGTGTAAAGCCGCTTTGCAATTAGGGACTCGGCCAGCGTGTTTGTTTTGTCCGTCTGTCACGCCGGGCCACGGTAATTCTTGTAAATGATTATTTGTCGAACTTCTTTCGCACGAGTATGCAGCCACCCGTGCTAATCGGAGCTGCATGAAGTTGATTTTGTACGAACTATTCTTTATTGTGATGCCCCATTGCTGTTAGGGACCCGCATTACCCGTTCTGTCCATCTGCAACACTGGGCTAAAGATGACTCTCGTAACGGTGATCCGATACGAACGAAACTTTCGTGTAAAGCCCCGTTGCTGTTTGCGACTTGCCCTACGTGTTAGTTCTGTCCGTCTGCAACACTGGGCCACGATGGCTCCCGTAACGGTGATCCGATACGAACGATACTTTCGTGCACAAGCCGCGGCGCTGTCGGGGACTCGCGCACGACAGAAAACCCGGGTCGTGGCGTCGATCGCGACGTTTACCCCCCCCCACTACACTCCACCCCCACCCCCCAAAAACGTGGAGACGCATGCGTTGACTCGCGTCGCCCTTCCAGGAGCGACCCGCCCGGCCAGTCGGTAACCACGGCGACGCAGGAGCTGATGCGTTTGGCGGAGGCGGCGGCTGCCGGTGGCGGCGGCAGTGGGGCCCTGAGGCCCCTGGACCCCGTGAACGACCTCCACGCCAAGGAGGCCGGCGCGGTGGAGGCGAGCATGCGGGCACGCGTCCTCGCTGAGAGGATCCCGCACTTCACCTGCACGGCCAGCCCCAAGTTCCAGTCGCAGGTGAGAGAGAGAAAGCGTGAGAGCGGGAGAGAGCAGGAGTGAGTGGGAGGGAGAGAGAGAGAGCGGTAGTGAGTGGGAGGGAGAGAGAGGGAGTTCTTCCGCGCTCTGGTCGGAGCCAGGGTGTGTGGGCTGGAGTTCCGCCATGCGGCGCGGCTGACCCACGCCGTGCTGGCCTTCAAGGAGCAGTGGGCGATGGAGGAGGCCGTGTGCTCGGTGGCAGATGACAGAGAGCTCTGCATGCAGTTATGAGCTACCTGTCTGAGGCCGTTGGACTGCGAGAAGGGCTGCGTGCAGAACGAGAGTGAGCGAGCGAGAGGGGGGGGGGTTACATAAAGCAAAGATAAAAAAAAAATACTAAATGGTGAACAAAGCAAAGTGCCGACTACACCGAGCATCTTCTTGTTTCCACTGATCGTAAAAAAAGAGAGAGCGGAAGGGAGGGAAAGTGAGCGCAAGAGTGAGTGAGAGAAGGTCAGAGAGACAGAGAGGGAGAGAGGGAAAGACTCTTCCCTCTCGAGAAATCGACTCGCTCCGAGAAGGTCCGTTTGATTTTCCGCTTGCATCCCCTCCTCTGTAACGGCTGCTCGCTAATGGCACTGGGCCGTACTTTACCGCGTGTTTTTTTCTTCTTGGTTCTTTCAGTAAAGTCACGTAGAAGGGAAGTAATAAAATAATAAAAATAAAACATAATAAAATAATTCTCACGACGTTTCGGCCACAACGCAAGCAGCTGTCCTCAGGTGAAGAACAGGTCTGTCGGGGAGACAGCGATTTCTGTCTCCCCTACAGACCTGGTCTTCACCTGAGGGGACGGCTGCTTGCGTTGTGGCCGAAACGTCGTGAGAGTTATTTTATTGTGTTTTATTTTTATTATTTTATTACTTCCCTTCTACGTGACTTTACCGAAAGAACCAAGAAGATGAATCCCTGCAGTCACGAAAGCTTTAAATCGAAATTTTACCGCGTGTCTCTGCAGTACGCTCGCATGGAGGAGCGGTCGCGCGTTGAGAGGGAGCTCTCGCATGTCAAGTTCCTCATGTCCGACCAGAGCCTGCACCTCCTGCCCGAGTACCACCAGCGCATCCAGGTGTCCGTACCGTGCGTCTCCCTGTCCGTCACACAAATGTGTGTGTGTGTGTGCGCTTCTACTCCTATGGGGAACGGCGGTGGAGTGGTTATCGCGCGGCGCTACGGAACCGGCGACCCGCGTTCGATTCCCGCTCGCTGCCAACACCGGTGACGATTATCTCAACGGGTCCTCGGTCTCCCCTAGGTCGACTCAGACCTTAAATGAGTACCTGGAGCGGTGTGTAAAAATCGTTACTAGGGAGACAAAGGTGGTCGGGCGTGGTACTGGCCACCCACCCCCCCTTGTGTGTCGTGTCAGCCTTCATCGGTGCTCGTGAACGGCACTTGCCCCAACGGTCTATTTTAGGCTATACTGGGGTTCTTTGTCTGTGGGCCTTGGCTGGAGGGCATTTCATAGGGTGGGGGTGTGGGGTGTGGGGCCCGGGGCAAATCCCACCGTTTGAGTCCCCCCGACGCCTTCAAGCTGAACCGGAAGTATGACATCCGTAACATCGAAGCGCGGGACTCAGGGCGGTCGCCCCGATTCTCCATACCCTCGGCGACCGCTCTCGTCGTAGCCGCCACCTTTAAACGTCGCCACTGCCGCCGGCGCCGCTACCGCCCCCCCTCTCGTTGACACCCCCCCCCTCCCGACCCTCCGCTGCAGGTGCTGAAGCAGCTGGGCTACCTGGACGAGTCGTGCGCCGTGCAGCTCAAGGGCCGCGTGGCGTGCGAGGTGAGCAGCCACGAGCTGCTCGTCACCGAGCTCGTGTTTGAGAACGCGCTGTCCGAGCTGGCGCCGGAGGAGATTGCCGCGCTGCTCTCTTGCCTCGTGTTCCAGCAGAAGACGCGCACGGAGCCCACGCTCACGCCCACACTCAAGCAGGTGCCCGCTCGGTCGCTCGGTGGCTCGCTCGTCCGTCCCCCCCCCCCCCCGATTGGCCCGCTCGTTCCTACTCGGCTCGTTGGGTTGATCCCGCTCTGAAGCTTTCGTGACTGCAAGGATAAATACATCTTAATGACTTTCATTTTTAAATCCTTTACATTAAGTTCACTTGCTTGCTTGCTTAGGACCGTGCAAATCTTTCGGTCGTTTTTTAACTCACTTCCCGTGATACATTCGAGCTGACATTTTCCACACAGACTCGTTGTGCGTGACAATTAATGTTCGTGAAAATTTTTTACCAAAATTTACACTTTTTAGGACAAAAATATTATATTTAATTACCAATTGCTTAATGGTGCAATGCAATCATCTGACCCATAGGTGGCAGCCATCTCAAGCCAGAGGACGAGAGGACTCTAGCCGCCACGCATATAAAGGATTTATAGTGAAAAACTTTGTTTTTACGGGTTATTTTTTTACCTGTTATGTCTCCACTCGGTAGTTGCACTCCCAATTAAAATGTTGCGAGGTTACTTAATACTGTGAGGTGGTCAGCATAGTGCATAAATCCATATGTGCGAAGCTGTTGTATAAATTCCACATTCCTATGACAGGGACAAGACCATCCACACAGCAACAGCAACCAATGTTGCTTCATAATTATAATTAAGATAATAGTTAAGTAACTCTAGATTTGAAGTTTTCGTAACTGCAAGGGTCCATACTCTTTGGTTTTTTCGGTAAAGTCACGTAGGTAAAAGATGAAATTAAAATTAATAATAACAGCAAATCTGGCTGTGAAGGTTCCACCTGATGACGGAGACTTGTGTTGCCTCCGAAACGTCGTGATTTTTTTAAATTTTACTTTTATCAATTTTAATTTCATTTTTTACCTACATGACTTTACCGAAAAAAACTAAGAGTATTGATCCCGCTCGCTCGCCCACGGCGCCAGCCACCGGCCTGTCTCCCTTGATCCCTCGCCCATTTGCTCACCTGCTTGTCCAATCGCCTCTCGCCCAATCCCTCGCTTGCTTGTAAGAATCACTCGCTCTCTGAGTTGCTCACCCGCTTGTCCAATCAATCACTCACTCGCGGTCTCAACCTTGATGCCTGTATACAGTATTTGGAGCTTGCATGTTCTCCCCGTGTGTCGTGTGGATTTTTCTACAGGTCCTCTGGTTTTTCCCTCCACATTTCGAATCAACATCACGCGTTTAGAGTAATTGGTTGCTATATATGTCCACGTCATGATAAGCCACTTCATCTTCTTGGTTCTTTCGGTAAAGTCACGTAGAAGGGAAGTAATAAAATAATAAAACATAATAAAATAATTCTCACGACGTTTCGGCCACAACGCAAGCAGCTATCCTCAGGTGAAGAACAGGTCTGTCGGGGAGACAGCATCTGAATGTCTGAATGACGCTGTCTCCCCGACAGACCTGGTCTCCACCTGAGGACGTCTGCTTGCGTTGTGGCCGAAACGTCGTGAGAAATATTTTATTATGTTTTATTTTTATTATTTTATTACTTCCCTTCTACGTGACTTTACCGAAAGAACCAAGAAGACGAATCCCTGCAGTCACGAAAGCTTTAAATCGAAATTTAACTGCTGTAGTTTAGTTTACAGTATCTGTGTGCGTGCGTTTGCGTGCGTGCGATTGACAGGGCGTGGAGCGAATCCGCGGCGTGGCGGAACGCATCGCCCTGCTGCAGCGTGAGTGTGGCATCTCGGAGTCGGTGGAGGATTTTGTGGATCAGTACAAGTTCGGCCTGGTCGAGGTCGTGTACGAGTGGGCCCGCGGCATGGTGAGAGACGCGGTGAAACAAATATACAGCTTGTGCCCACAAAATGTTAGGGGTGTGTTTATCCCGACCCTGACGATGTATTTGAAGTTTGCATGTTCTACCCATGGTCGCGTAGAGGTTTTCTCCGGATGTTCCGGTTTTTCCCTCCACATTTAGAAACATGCGTTTAGAGTATTTGGCTGCTATAAACAGTCCACATCAGCCACTTCATTGGGCTCCTGAAAAATATCTGTATAACTCAATGGGCCTTACCTGGTAAAAACAAAATACTTTATAGTAATTTTTAACAAAATTTCATTTTTTTTCACGAATGTTCAAGCCGACTTCCACTAACATGAATGCATGATGCACTAATTCTCTTTTGAAATTCATTTAGGACTGTTTTTTTTTGGTCAAGATTGCAGGCGTTTGGCATTTATCAGTTATGTTTTGTTGTATGTATGCGTGTTGAACCAGCCATGCTGATCGGAGGTGCGGATTGTCGTCCCAATTCTCATTCGGGATTCTTGGTCGAGTTTTGTAAAAACGACAGATTTGATGCGAACCCCCACTGGGAGAAAATAAATAGATATTGAGAATAATCATAATAGATCAAATATTAACTTAAAGAAATAATTATTCAAACAAAAATCATGCCAGTGTTATGATAAAATAAATCACCCTGTGTGTCCTGACGTTTGGGCCACCATGTACATGTACAAATTTCATTCTATTGTTTTGTATGGCAGAGCAGTGCCAAAGAAATGAGACACCACCACTATCAATGCAGTCCATAATTGTTGTTGTTAGGGGCCAGAGTTGAGCACAGCGAGTTTGTCGCGTGAGCACATCTCTGTGGCCTCCTCATCCTGGAGCCACAAGACCATGCTGATGGGAAGACCGTGTCAAAGACTTAGGGCCGTAACAGAAAAGTCCCCTTTTTGATGCCAACACTGTCTCTTTCCCCTGTCTGTGATACACACCACCACTCAACTCGCTCACCGCTACCGCCACCATCTTCCCCACCACCACCATTACCACCGCCAACACCGTCACCATCACCACCACCACCACCACCATCATCTCCATCGCCATCTTGACCACTGCTGCCTCAACTACCGCCACTACCATCACCACCGGCAACACCATCACTACCACCGCCCTCATCATCATCATTGCTACCACTATGACGACTGACACCGTCACCGCTGCTGCCTCTGCGACCGCCATCACCACCGCCACCTCCGCTATTATCCCCATCACCACCTTGATCCCCGCCACCAACACTGCTGTCTCCACTACCGCCACCGCGACCACCGCCATCATCACCACCGCCATCATAATGATCACCACCACCATTATCACAACTGCCACCACCATGACCACCGCAACCACCATCACCACGACCACTATGAACCGTCACCATTACCGCCACCGCTACCACCGCCATCATCATCACCGCAATCATCATCACCGCCATCATAATGATCACCACCACCATCATCACAACTGCCACCACCATGACCACCACAACCACCACAACCACCATCACCACCACCACTATGAACCGTCACCATTACCGCCACCGCTACCACCGCCACCCACCGCTCCAGCCGTTTGCGGAGATTGCGCGGCTCACGGACGTGCAGGAGGGGGTGGTGGTGCGCTGCGTCCAGCGGCTGCACGAGGCGTGCCGGGACGTGCGGGGAGCGGCGCGCGTCATCGGGGATCCCATCCTGCGCGACAAGATGGAGCGGGCGTCGGACGCCATCAAGCGCGATATCGTGTTCGCCGCCAGCCTCTACACGCAGTGACCCTGCGCTGCTGCTGCTGCTGCCGCCGTTGCATCATGTATCATATTCCCCCAACCACACATCCCACTTTCTCCAACTTTTGCATTTAATTGGAATTTGTTTTGCCCTTATCCTTTCCAGATGATGCGATGGTGCGGACGCCGCGCTTATTGTCTTGAGATATTGTCCACATTTGGACGCTTTACAAAAATGTAATTTTCTGTAAATGTTCATCGCCCCTTCTGCCCCCCCCCCCCCTCCTCTTGCGGCTTTGCGATTTTTGACTTCCACCATCATCGCCCATCCTATCTGAGGGCCGCCGGGCCTGCACGTACACAAATGCCCCCCCCCCCCCCCCCCCCCGACCTGCCTGTGTATGCCAGTGGCGTAGCGTGGGTTGGCACGGCCCCTGGTGCAAAGGAATGAAAATGTGCTTCTCGTGTCTACCGCGGTAAACACGCAACGTTGGGTCGACGTCGGCCTGTGGTTGGAACGTCTGGCTCAACGTTCTGCGTTCCATGGTTGGGCGCCTCGGTGGCGAGATGTTAACTACCTCACCTGGTATACAGGCACTGGCGGAGCCAGTGGGGGGGGGGGGGGGGGTGGCACGTGCCCTCCCAATGATCCGATCGAATTCTCTAATTTCGATCGGATCATTGGGGTTTATTAGTAATAAATCGGCATTTTGCAACCCTCACTGCCACTGTGTAGCATATTATTATGTGCCAGGGATGAGAGGACAATAATCTGAGTCCATAATTGGCAATAAGTAACGGCAAAGCAGTTATAAGTGACTCAGAATTGTGCACAGTTGCGACTACAATCCACGACTTCCCTGAAGGCATTCACCTTCAGCGAGCGCCATGCCGATCACACAACGTGGTTAAAACTCGACCCTCGATCGATGGTTGCGCCATCGCCGCACACGCCTCGAATGAAAAGCAAGGAACAAGTCCTTACAACTCCTATAATTTTTCATTGCTGGAGGGGTTACCCCCTCCTACCTGAAAATCCTGGCTCCACCATTGTATACAGGAGGTCGTGGGTTCAATCCCGACCTTGACGCCTGTGTGTATGTGGAGTTTGCATGTTCTCCCCGTGGTCGCGTGTATTTTTCTCCGGTTCCTCCGTTTTTTTTCCCCTCCACATTTTTAGAATGAACACGCGTCTCGAGTATTTGGCTGCTAGACATTTCCACGCGACAAGCCACTTCGTTGAGCTGTCATTTGTGGCCAGGTCACTTCTGAAAAATAAGTATATCGCTCAGTGGGCCTTACCTGGTAAAATAAAAAATAGTTTAGTGTTTACTGCGTCATTTCTCCCCCCCCTCTCTGCTTAGGCCGGTGTCTGGGCCTCTCCCGCCTGTGGGGGAGGCCCTGGTTTAGATGTACAGCCTGGCACACTCGATAGCTACGCCACTGATGTACTTACTGCACCCTGACAGCACTTGTTATGCGCAGTGTGCCTTATTGTATTTGCAGTCGAGGCTTGCTGAAGAAGGTAATAAACCACACTGCAAATGGGTGACAGATGTTGTCATTATTTTGAGCGGTGCGAGTGGTTTACATCAAAACGTGGATGGTTAATAATGTGTAAGATTTGAAACGGTTACTTAACTCTTTGGTTTTTTCGGTAAAGTCACGTAGGTAAAAAATAAAATTTAAATAAATTAAATCACGACGTTTCGGAGGCAACACAAGCTTCCGTCTTAAGGTGGCACCGTCACAGCAAAATTACTGTCACTTGATACGGTAATTTTTATTTTATTTTATACCTCCGTGACTTTACCGAAAAAAAACTAATAAGAGTATGGACCCTTGTAGTCACGAAAACTTCAAATCTAGAGTTACTTAACTATTATCTTAATTATAATTATGAAGCAACATTGGTTGCTGTTGCTGTGTGGATGGTCTTGCCCCTGTCATAGGAATGTGGAATTTATACAACAGCTTCGCACATATGGATTGAAGAATCCATTTATGCACTGCTAGCCACCGCAGTATTAAGCAACCTCGCAACATTTTAATTGGGAGTGCAACTACCGAGTGGAGACATAACAGGTAAAAATGAAAGTCATTAAGACGAAAAATTAAAATATGAAAAAGCGAATAAAGTCCTGCAAACATTTGTGATCGTTAGAACATTGTACTTGCAATACAGTGATCATCAGTTCAATCTCCCGGAAAGGCAGTTTTGGGGGGGAAAAAAAGTTCAACCATCCCCACCTCTGTCCACCCAGCAGGGTACATGGGTACAGGGCAGTCGGTCGGCAGGTCACGTGTGGTGGGGTCAGGGGCCGTCCATAAATGACGTCACGCACCCTGGGGGGGGGGTGGGGGTTGAGAAATGTGACGTTACATCAAATGCGCAACTTTAAATAAATATAGACAACACGTTCTACTTGATAATTGGTGTTTTACCCTTCTATCTGGCAGCAAAACTGACACCTTTTTACAAGGAGTCATGTTTGTATAGAACGCAATACATGCAGTCATAATACAAACAAAAACACAACTCTGATAATGTGCACATGTGAGACTAGGCTCTAAGGAACGCTGTCTCGGGTGTGGACCAATCAACTTCATGGACAGTGCATACATTATCAGAGTAATGTCTTTTGTTTGTATTATGACTGCAGGTATTGCGGTCTATACAAACATGACTCCTTGTAAAAAGGTGTCAGTTTTGTTGCCAGATAGAAGGGTAAAAAAACAATTATCATATTTTTACTGGCAAGTGAGGTTTCCATAACGTTCTACTTGATTAAATATTCTTTTTAATGTTTTCTACAACAGTGCAGCGCCGCATTAAATACGCACTACAATGACAACAGTTTAAAGCGATTTGAAGCATGTTTTATTTTTTGTAGGCGGGGGGGGGGCAGAGCTTTGTGACGTCATATTTGAGGGGGGGGTCTAACTTTTTGTGACGTCGTGTGACGAAGGGGGGGGGGTGGGGTCAAAAATCGCCCAAAATCGCGTGACGTCATTTATGGACGGCCCCTAAAACGTGGGCAGCCAAATACTTTACATCTCCATTCTGGTCCTCGGTGAAACTGCCGATTAAAATCACTAAAGTTTAAGCGTGAATGTAATTTTACAACAATTGTTATTACATCATGGGACCTTTCCTAGTGCCAAAATATGAGAATAGGTTTTCCCATTTTTTCTGGCAATAAAACAGTTGTGTTGAGATATATATTCTTGGTTCTTTCGGTAAAGTCACGTAGAAGGGAAATAATAAAATTATATTGATATAATAAATAGTAATATATTATATATTATATAATATATTATATAATAAGGGAAAAAAGTAATATATAATTATATAATTATATTTTATATCATATTTTTATTATTATATATTATATAATATTTTTATATTATTATTTTATTATTTCCCTTCTATTTGACTTTACCGAAAGAACCAAGAATATGAATCCCTGCAGTCACGAAAGCTTTAAATCAAAATTTAGGTGTTGAGATGTTAAAACACCAAACTGAAACCTTTTACAAGGAAACATGCCTGCATTAACCACAATACTTGTGGTCAGAATGCAAACAAAAAACATACTTTGATAATCTAGATTTGAAGCTTTCGTGACTGCAGGAATCCATACTCTTTGGTTCTTTCGGTAAAGTCACGTGGGTAGAAAGTAAAATAAATTACGACGTTTCGGGCGCAACACAAGCATCCATCATCAGGTGGGAAAGCATGTTGTGCTGCTGAGCCAGACTGTTTTAAAAGGTTTGAAATTAAATTTCGATTTAAAGCTTTCGTGACTGCAGGGATTCATCTTCTTGGTTCTTTCGGTAAAGAACCAAGAAGGTTTGAAATTGGTGAAGCCCAAGGGTCATAAAGAAGTGGGCGGTGCTAGTGATGTTAACGTAAGAAATTAGCATGTAAATGTCAGAAATTAGCATGTAAATGTAAGAACGGAGAGCAGTCTCCTCGACGAGGGCACGGAAGTGGCTCTGTTAATGTAAGAGATTAGCATGATGTTAATGTGGTTTTAATGTTTAAAAGAAAAAAAAATCCCTCTGGTTTGACATCGAGTTCCGGGCGTTAACTGCGCGGTCGCCATGGCAGCGGCGTGCAAGCTGACGTCACGCATTCCGGGGAGCCCACGTGTTTTTTTCGTCTTCGCTTCTTTCTCTTCACTTTTAAAAAATTTTCGCTTATTTCTCTTCGTCGCATGTGGTTTTCATATTTAAGAGCAAAAATAATCCCTCTGTTTTGACATCAAGCTCGTGACGGTAACGGCGCGGTCGCCATGGCAGCGGCGTGCCGGCTGACGTCACGCATTCCGGGGGGGGAGGGGGGTCCCCACTGATATTTTTTTTCGTCTTTGCTTCTTTCTCTTTTTTCTTTTCGCGTCTTTCTCTTTTTCTCTTCACTTCTTTCTCTCGTTTTTCTTTGCTTATTTCTCTTTTTTTATCTTCGCTTATTTCTCTTCGTCGCATGTAGTTTTAATATTTTAAATAAAATAAATCCCTCTGTTTTGACATCAAGCTCTTGACGGTAACGGCGCGGTCGCCATGGCAGCGGCGTGCCGGGTGACGTCACGCATTCCGGGGGGCCCACATGTTTTTTTCGTCTTCGCTTCTTTCTCTTTTTTCTCTTTTTTCTCTTCACTTCTTTCTCTCGTTTTTCTTCGCTAATTTCTCTTTTTTCATCTTCGCTTCTTTCTCTTCGTCACCTGTAGTTTTAATATTTAAAAGCAAAAAAAAAATCCCTCTGTTTTGACATCGATCTCCGGGCGGTAACGGCGCGGTCGCCATGGCAGCGGCGTGCCGGGTGACGTCACGCACCGAGGGGGCGGGGCCTCCCTCTGGCTTCCCGCTGCCGTTTTGCCGTCTCCGTTCGCCGTCTCTGCGGATCTGGCGCCTCAAGGTTCGTCGCGTTCTCGCGCAAATCGTCGCAAGGCTCGACACGATAAGGGGGCGAAGCGACAACAGCGTCGCCCTTCCTGCGAGTCGTCGTCGTCGTCCAAAGTTTGGAGTTTAAAACTTTAAACTTATTAAGAAAAAGCGCGCGGAGGAGGCGGCGGCGGCCTGAGGCAACCGGGACGCGTCCCGCCCGTAGCCAGCAAACTTGAGGTGAAACGTTTACCTCGAGATGTTAAATGTTTGTTGTAATTAATTGTTATTGTTAAGAGTATAGCGGCGTCTTAGTTTGGCGATTGCAAAGTCAACTTGAGGCGAAGCTAAACTTTTTTTGTCTTTACCCCACAATTTTAAATGTTGTAGTAACGGATTTGTAATTGTTGTTAGGCGTTTCGGTGTCTTAGTTTGGTGATTGCAACGTAAACTGAGGCGAAATAAG